GAAGAGAGTGGCAGGAAGAAGAAACAGGACTATGAATTGACTTGTTTCTTTTGTCCTTGAGGGACTGATATTTGCTCCTTTAGGATTTTGTTCTGTTCTTGGATCAACTTCCTCTAGCACAATAATACCTGCAATAAGGGAGAGAATGAGGACCTGAGCTCAAAATGGAAAACACAGAGGGCGTACTTGAGGACTATTTATATCTTAGACATCTGTCTGTTTATGTTATATATATATATATACTGCACAAATATTTAGTATAATTCAGAATATGTTGTTTTCTGTGACATTTGTATTTCAAGTAATAAAGCATAAAAACACAATATTTTGACAAAATGGGCAATTATTCAGCAATTTAAACAGCTTTAGTTTGAGTCTTTCAGGCTTCTCTGAAAATTTTGTCTCAAATCGCTTCCCCACCCCAATCCAACCAATCTTCACAAAATATTAAGCATCACAGAAAGTGATGGGGCAATAATAAAACATCAACAATAATTGCTATGAACAATTTTTGAAACTGTAAAGTGTATTTTCAATTTTAAATCGTATTATTTTTGAAACTGGTTGGTTTGGTTCAAGGGTCTTTATTGAAGAGCTCTAAAGAACTCTAAAGAGAGAGAGAAAACAATTTTACTTGTGTAGATGAATGGGAAAATACATGCCCCTGCTTTACTCTCATATCACTTGCCATGCTTTTCCAGCTATTGTTCACAATCAGGAATTTTCTATTAGCCCCCTAGCAATTTGAGATGGACCCCCTGGTGTGGGTGCAAGAAAATGCTGTTTTAGAGTATGTACCAGCTTAACATACCATTGTTACTGGTATAATGATTAATTGGATTTCTTAATATGGCTAAATAATTATAGTCAGTAATCAATTTCAAATACAAAAATCTGAATGGATTGCTTTTAGTTTCATCATTTTGTTAATCTTGAGTACCTATAAAGTAGAATTGCATCCTTCCTATCTCCAAAGAGTCTTTAGTTTTGTCATATTTATAAAAGAAAGATACAGCTAGGGCTGTGCAAAAAATCGAATGCGATTTTCATGCGCATCTCGTCAGTAAAGCCGGTTCTGTGATTAGTAGTAAATCTCTAGCACATGCTTTCAGATGGAGCGGCATTTACTACACAGAGCCGTAGTTCACTGACAAGCTACGCAAAATCGCGTTCAAAATCGCAGGCGATTCATTGCCGATTATGAACGTGATTTTGCATAGCTTTTAAGGATTATTATTATTATTATTTATTTATTTTTATTGCATTAGTTAAACCCACCATAGGCCCACCATATATTACTTCCTGTTAATTTTCTTTCACTTAGAAACACATGGCTTTGCAGGAGTGCTGATCATCAGCCAGAAACTCTCTGTATGAGGCTGAGTGGATCACACTGTCTGCATCACAGACACATCACTGCTTCATTGTGCTGGATTAAGTGAACTACGGCTCTGTGTAGTAGTGTTGTCACGGTACCAAAATTTCAGTATTCGGTACCAATACCAGTGAAAATCCATGGTGCTCTGTACCAATTTCGGTACCAAAGCAAAACACAAAACCATGCTAATTAAAAATTTTTACTACTTTCATTTAATCCAAAATGTGTACATTTAATTTTAAAGGGCTTTTGAAAACCTAGAGCTATTCAGTCAAGAATAACAACTAAGTTAGCTAAAAAATTTAAAAAAAAAGCCCAGCACTTCTGAATGATATGACACAAACAATGTTAACCATTTGTACATTCTCTAACACGCATATTTTAGATTCACAATTCATTTAAAAGCCTCTGGTGTGTAAAAATAGTAAATATCATCATGTCCTCCTGTTTTTTTTACCCTAATAAAAGTTATAGGAGCATTAAATAGTTAATAAAGAAACTTCATTCTAATGCTCATTATATTAGCGCTTATGCTAATGATTAACTACTCTAATAACAGCGATGTTCATTTCAATCCGACATTCAAATTAAAATATTGAATAATATGCAGTGTTTCCCCCAGAACGTGCACTCTATTTGTGGAGGGCATATCTATGCAAATTCATTCTCTGCCAGCAGGAGGTGCTTGTAGAGCGCAAGAGATCAAGTTTCCCCGGTAAAGCTGTACACAAAGCAGCGCTCAGCTCACAAACTGCTCAGGCATTACAGGCAAGATGAAATGAAAATGACATCCATAATTTTCTGAAGACAGTTGTTTCCTTCAGAAATACAGTGATATAAAAACACCCGCACCGGGTTTCGACTTTGACACGTGCAGTGCTCATGTTTATTCAACGAAGTCAAAGCCTTTTGGAAAATCTATTTGTGGCGGTGAGTTTTGATATTGTGGCGGTCCGCCACAAATAAATCAATGTTTGGGAAACACAAATGCAAAAAATTAAAATGAAACTTACCTGCTTGAACTCTTTCATTTGATCTGGGTGTCTTTAAAGTGTTTTGTTAGTTTGGTGTGTTTCCTCGTTTTGATGTCGCCACGTCTCAGTGCTTTTATGAAGAGAGCGCATCTGCGCACCTTTCGGATAGCACATCAAGAACCGGGTTGACCGGGTACTCGGTACCACCGGTACTTAAAAAAACCTGGTACCGTAACATTTTCATTTTTTTAGTACCGACTTGGTACCGAAGTACCGGGTCTTTTGACAACACTACTGTGTAGTAAATGCCGCTCCATTTGAAAGCATGTACTGGAGATTTACTACTAATCACAGAAGCGGCTTTACTGACGAGATGCGCATGAAAATCGGATTCGATTTTTTGCCCAGCCCTAGATACAGCTTTACGATTCTCTCCAAAAATAGCCAAGCTCCTGGAGGTGTGCTGTGGGCAGAGCTCTTGCAAAAGAATTCCGCATTTCATGGCGTCATGAAGGGCCATGCTCGAAAAATACTTTCCGAAACTTATACGAACCCGGAAGGAGTGTATTTAGCACAGAAATACTCTGTCATACATACAAATAATTTTTTGAAACTTTGACTTTAACAGTGTAAATAACTCAGAATGCATGAAATAGCCTTAGAAATAGCCCCCCCCCTTAAAATAACATACATTATTTAAACGTATACATATTTCAATAATTGGGTTACTTGTGGGAACTACTGGTACAATACGTCATTGAGCTTCAATTAAGCCAGTTGGATATAATGCATGACTAGACTGCAAGAGCAATTTGTGGAGAGAAGTTTGCAAGGCACCACTCTGAATTAAAATTACCTTTGCAACATGATTGTGGTAGGCCTAACTGCTGGATTTATCTACATCACTTCCTTTGCACACAATTAGCCTGATGACTCAAAAGGATATGTGAGTGAACAGTGTTGAGTAATCATTTGGGAGAGTGAGACAAATTTCATGGACTTGGTGAGAAGAAACTGCTTTTCAGATTGCGGGTACACAAACCAAATTCAGATGTCTAAACTAGATACAACAGTTCCATTGAAATGGGTTGAGAGTTAAAAAGTTAAGAGTTTCAACTGACCTACCGGTAAGCCCCTCCCCTCGAACGCAGATGAGCCAATGGCAGTCGAGTATCAGTTACACTGGGAGCGGAACTCGAACATCTGTAGGTTTCAGCGCCATAGAGAAACTTTGGAAGATCCAAAGCTTTCATCGGTTTGATGGTGTTTATGCTACGAAAATGGAAAAACAATGTGCCTGTGGTATTTGTAACACTGATTCCAGGTATCCTGAGAGGATGGGCAATAACATTTATTTTATTACATTTCCTAAACCCAAACAAAACAGAGCAAAATGTCCCTAAGCATTCAACCCCAATCCCAATGAAGACAAAAACTTCATTTTCTGGTTGTCAAACTCTCATTAAGTTACAATTTGCATCTGCTCAAGCAGAACGTTAAGTGTGAAAAGTGTGACGTGACATGTGGCCAAGTATGCTGACTAGGGATATGCCGGTATCAAATTTTCATGTTGCGATTGGCACCTCAGTCGTAGTATTGAAGGTGGAAGAGAGCGCTGCACATTCACTCCCCCCACCTACAATCCCTGCCGGTACGAGACTCGAACCCGCAACCTTTGGCTTACGAGTCCGACTCTCTAACCATTAGGCCACGACTTCCCTCTTAATTCTTCCCTTTTAATGCCATCTTGCGTTTCAGCAAGGTATCTCTGGCTAAAACCAGCTAACGATAAAGTTAGTGAGTCAATGCTATTACAAACCTAAATAGCGAACTGTTCTCGCATCATGTACAGTGTAAGTCAAAAACACATAAACGAAGGTCTACATTTTAGTGCCTCTCAATATTAAACTAGTTAAATATACATTAATTTAATCGTACTCTGCGGTACATGAACAGTGTTGATCCTGCATGTTGTGATCATTGATCGTGATGACCGTAATATGAGACTTCTCCCGCTTGCATTGTGATCTGTAAACTCTCACTTCAAGTTACCCACCATATTTATTTTAGAATCTTTTATATATCCCTCCATGAAATATTTAATTCCCACTTGAATGGTGGCCCTTCTGTGTCCAAAATTGTGCAAAAACTTTGTCGGACAAGGTTTTCACACTGACAGCTGTCATTGTGAGACAGTGAGCAACTCTGTTTGTTTGTCCGAGGGAGCAACAGTAACTAAAGGGGGCGGGGCATACGATAGGTCAATTGACCCTTCACCCTCCTTAGTTACTGTTGCTATGTTCGACAAGCCATATCAATTGAGAAGAGTTTTTTGTATCAGTTTGCAAAGCTTATATTGAAGAATATGAATGTAATATGTGTAATATGTACACAATACATACAATAGGGCATTGAGAAAGCGATGACACAAAAGATGAAAATTCTGTCATGATTTACTCATCCTCGGGTTGTTTCGAACCTGTTTGCCTGACTCTCTTTTGTGGAAGAAAAAGAAGAGTTTTTTTATAAAAAAAAGAAGAAGCCTTTTTTTGTCCATACAATGAAAGTCATTGGCATCCAAAGTAGTTTTGGACTCAATTACCTTTGATTGTAATATTTCAGACATATCTTCTTTTTTTGTTCTGCAGTGAATAGAAAGTCATACAGCTTTGGAACGTCATAGCGGTGAGTAAATGATGGCATATTTAAATTTATTGGTGAACTATGCATTTAATGATGAAAGGCTATTGATGGTGCTGGAATTTTGTCTCTTCGGGTTTAGAGTTTCAAAAGCCATCAAAAGCTAAAGAAGTAATAGATCATTTTCATGTGAGGGTATATTTGCATAGCACAAGTTACCTGAGAACTCAAGTAAGTGACACCAATGATCGATCATAAAAACAATGATCAGCCATTATCCTGCTTTTAATCTAATTCAAAATTCAGTAACATGCTACAGCTATAATCAAGTGTGTCAAAAATAAGTTAATTTTTAGATTTGTGATTATAGCATAATTTTCAGGAACATTGTGCAGTCTAATTCATTAGACAGCCGTTTTCTCTAGCACTGCATATTACAGCATGGTGCAGCAACAGTGCTCAACCGTCTAGAGAGGCTCACAGGATATGTTCTTCAGTGCATCTGAATGAAACACAGTGAGGGTCTTTACACTACGTCTTTAAAATAGCCGTTATTTAAAGTAAATAATGGTAATATGGTTACTTTAACCATATTAACTACGCAATGCTTATGCTGACAAGTCAGCTACAGATAGAATATCTATGGTCAGCAGTGCTGTGCTTTGATTTTAAGAACTTTCTTTCTCTCTAAATAAAGAAGAAAGCAATGCAGTGATTTTTACTTATTTGAGTCTACAAGCCTCTGTTTCATGTTTTAGCCCACATATTCCTTTTTTTCATGTGAGATGGCACACACACACACACACACACACACACTTAAAAAAAAAAAATCCATGGATAAGCTTTTCCGCAGCATCATTGAACATGTCCCAGCGTCACAGTCCACTGGCAGGGTCACCAGAGACGAAACACTGAAATACAGATCCAATGCTCCACTGACTTACAGTGCAATTGACTAGTAGAGATCCCATGAGACAGAACTAAAATCTGGCGAGTAGATGTCCACCAGCATAGCCTCCTAAGAGTTTTCAATGAAAATCTTTTAAAGAGGAAAGTATTTTTTATTATTATTTTTCATTATCCATAAATAGTGTCTTTATATCATCCATAGCTCTCCCATGAATTGTTTGTATTGGACTCATCCTACAAATTTTCTCATCGAAATTGAGTTTTCTGAATCAAATATAAAATATAAATCACTTGTTCATCAATTTATTTGCAGTAAATCTCAAAGATTCACACCCCTACCATTCAAATATATTTTCAGTTGTTTCTCGTCAGTGAGCCAGAATCTGCAAAATGTTAATTATTTTACAAAAGCAAGAGGGATCATACAAAATGTGTGTTATCTTTTATTTAGTACTGACCTGAATAAGATATTTCACATAAAATATGTTTACATACATATACTTTGTGTTGTAGCCACAAAGTTTAGAACAGTTAGTACCAGGTCTTGTATTTGATTGGCTGAGCAATGTTCCAAAATCCTGATATTTGTCCGCTGGCACTGGGACTTTTCTCTGTTTGCATCTCTCCACTTGTCTGTGTTTACTCAAGATTTGCATCAAGCATATCATACCTTATACTTTTCTGTTAGAAGAACTTCATCAGTCTTAGATCATCTTAGTTGGGTTATTAATATCAAAAGCTGTAGCCTTTAATAGGCCATTGTGTGATTTTTCCAGAACACATGGAGATGAAAATGTCTAGCATGACGTCCCTTCTTGCAACTTTTTTTAAAAAGGTCCATGGTCCAGTCAGCTGGGTCTTAAATTGTGATTAAAACCTGCATCTCCCCTGATAACATATGAAAGTGTTGCTGAGAGGCAATTGACAGAGTGATCAAGGGAATAACAAATGCATCTGTGTCATGTGCCTACCTTAATGTGAAGTGTGTGTGCTCCAATGTTTGACTTGTTTGTGTATATAAAGAAAGAGCAGGTGAAACAACAGTGGAAGAAGAGGGGAATTGAGAATGAGGAAGGATCCAGAAAAGGATGAAGAAAGAAGGAAGGAGAGTGGCTGTTCAGCACTTTGCATGTTTGCAGCATCACTGCCTCTTTGTATGCGCCATGAATTTCTTATCCTTTTCAAAAAGGTTGAAGAAAAAAAAAATCTAATATAATGCAGAAGAGTCTTCTGTTTCTCTTTGTCTCTGCTTCTCTCTTTTTCCATATCCCCATGAACACTTTATATTAAAGGGATCACCCAAAAATGAAAATTGCCATCATTTATTCACCCTCATGTAATTCCAAAGCCAAATCATTTTCTTTCTTCAGTAGACCACAGAGGAGAAATTTTGCTGGATGTTTATACTGTTTTTTTTTTTTTTTACATTTAAAGAGAAAAAATGGCCAGGGGCTGTAAAGCTCCAAAAAAAGGCCATATTACTTGTGCGCTACACTATAAGAACGGTTTACAAAATAACGCCAAATATACAGTTTATGCAATTTTCTTTATTGTATTTTTATGTGTATTTTGAATTGCATTTTGTTGTGTTTTTCAGTGTTGAGTTAAATGGTGCTAGTAATTTTCTACAGAACATTATCCATTATCCTTTTGCTGCAGTTCTTTCCCTCCTTACAGAGATATTGCACATCTTCTGAAGCCATATGAAAGCTTTGAGCGAGGATTAGACTGTTATTCACTGAAAATCTTCGTATAACGCCACATGTCTCATATCTTACTTGTCCAATTTTGCATCAGTGACAGCAAACCTGGCGTGACACTCCTTTACGTGTCAAGTTTGAAAGTGTGTATAGCCTGTGTTCCTAGAAAAAGGCAATGCTTAGTTTTTGTGCAGAAAATTGTTGTTTGCCATTCATTTTTTTTTCTTGCCATACATTAGTTTTTTTCTTTTTTTAATGAATAATATGAATTTTAAGTTTCAGTATCAAATAAAATGGAATAATTTTTAATGTATGAACATCGCTCTAGTAAAAAAGTAATGTATATAAAATACATTTATTTCATGCTAAGTATAGTTCAAATCTAATAATATATTTAGTGACATATCGCTGGAGTCTTATTGATATAAAAAAAAATATTATTAAACTTTATTTGGAATACTACTTGTGCACAATGCACATTTCTTAATATTAAGCCTAAAATGTGTTTTAATGTTACTATTGATGAGGATTGTATGATCTTTGAATAATATCGGTCTTTAAATGCAAGATGTTTAAAGTTTTCCTGAAGTATACTTGATTTGAGTTGAATTACTGAAATAAATTAACTTTTCCACGACATTCTAATTTATTGAGATGCACCTGTATATCTTTAGTTGGACTTCAGCACAACTTCTGCACAATTCACGTTCATTAAGTGCAAAATTAGTTGTTCCAATTTAACAGACTTTAAGTATATCAGTTTAGTAAACCAAAAGTACAATTGCAGGGCATTTTTATTAAGTACATATATACATATATTTCAAATACATTTTAGTATGTATTTTTCACTAGGGTATATTTGAATCATGGTGAAAATCAGTGAATTGTAAATTGAATTCAGTTTGCTCTCAACCCAAATATTTACAGCCTTAAATGTTTTTTTTGCCCATTCTTTTCTGGACAGTTTTCAGTTTGTTCATGTTAGTTATAATTATGTTGACTAAAAGGATTATATTAGAACTGTTTTAGAAATAAAGTCTTGTCATTCCAAAGTCCTTTTTGAAACTGAAAGTCTCCATTCAATGATATTTGGCATCACTGATGTGTGAATGAAGTTTGATGTTTGAATGATGTTTGACCTATTTTAGAGATTATCAGTAAATAGCATGTTTAAAAAAAATACTTTGGAGTATAATGCATGAGCGTTATAGAGTGCATTTATGGTAATTTTTGGGACTTGGCAGCTTCTGTTTACCATTCCTTTTGACTATATGGAAAAGAGCAGCATGAACATTTAGCCAAGATCAGATTTAGAGTGAAATGAGGGTGAGTAAATCATGACAGGATATTCATTTTGGAATGATCTACCCATTTAACTATTTTAATATGCATTTAAAAGACAATTGATTAATTCTGTGCCATGTATTTTCACACTAGATGAGATGTCCTTGGGGCGAAGCGAAAAAGGTTCGAGAAGAAATGCCAGAGTGGCACCTCTTTGTTAAGGCAATTGCTGGTGCTAATGTAGCTGTCGTTTCAGGAGGTCAGCGGTTCAGAAGTTGCTCTTGAATTATCTTTCAACCTTTAAAACCTGTGAAAAGACATTGAAATTCAAAGAACTAGCATCATTACTTTGTGCTATTATCTCACATGGAAGCTTGCAAAGGTGAAAACCCTCTGAAACATTCTGCTGATCTAAAACATTATGTCTGTGATCAAAGCTCAAGGACGTAGCAGGTAACGAAAGTTACCAGAACCAAACCAATGTGATTCTTGTCATTTCAAAACACTGACATCTGAGAGTCTGGATATCGATGAGAAAAATATTCCAAGCATGGATGTCTGTCTGTGATCGCAGACTGTTCATCACCCTGCACCAGAATACTCTCAATGATATATGTGGGTTCCTGCTCTTCAAAGGGAACCTCAGATCAAAAATAAATCCTCCTCCATTGTGCATGCATTGGCCTTGGACACGGTCAATACTTGGTTTCCCTTTGAAAAAAAACAACAAAAAAAAACACTCGTTTTGCTTTGGTGTTTAGATCTTTTAGATTTTTTTTCTTTCTCAGGATCGAACTTGACAAGTCTCAAGCACATAGAAATACATGCATTTCCTATAGCAAAGAGATCAGGACCAACTATCACCAAACCATAAGGGCCATTAATCAGCTCAACCTTTTCAAGTTCATTCTAGCTATGAGCAGAGTAGCATTAGAGGAGGAATTTAAAGGCGACTTTCTGATCTCCATCCATTGCATGCACATGGTGATGTGAGGAAGGCCAGCATGACATGAATACTGAGTAGTCTTTCCAGAGGCATGGAAGCCCTCTCATGCATGTGAGTAATGTATGTATGCCCAGTCATCTGTCTCCATTGTGACCGGAGGCAAGGAAGTGGACCACCTCTTTCTGGAAGAGTCAGGCTTTTTGCATCCCTCAGTGCTGAGCAGTGCAGTGAAGGGAGTGGAGCTTTATAAAAGGTGGGTTCAGTCCCATGGCTTAGATTAATGAAACATAGAGGAACTGAAGTTCATGTTCTTGTGTGAACACGAGGGAAGTCACATTTTTGCCGTCATCTATCATAATGACAGAGAACGAGTGGAGTGATCCAGCATATTTGAGATGGAGCAGGACAAAAGATGAGAGAATGTGGTTTTTAGGAAGAACACAATCCAATGTTCACCGATTCTTTTTGAACTGGATTCAAACTTTGTGATTTTGTCAGTGGTGTGAGGTACTAGAGAACTAGGGATCCGTAAAGTTTTAAAAACTGATTAATTGGTGGGTTGTTTCAGTGACTTTTCAATCAGTCTTAATGAAGCACTGTATAATTGGCATGGATTTGGTGTCGTCTAACCCCAGTTGAGCACATTTCTTTGGGAACATGTACACAAGTCACATTCTTGCATAAAATGGTTTGCAGTGGAAGTGGAACACTCAAAATGGGATACTCAAAAAACAATACAAGATGTGACTCAGTGGGCAAATATGTCCATGTCTGCATGTGTATGGCTGTAGTGGCAGGGCTTTTAAAGGGTTGTATTTCAAAGCACAACTTTTCCAAGAGAAAACAGGTACAGTTGATAACCAGACAGACTGTTTCATACACCAGAGCTAAAATGTTACACACGTGAGACTTGTTCGCAAAAAATAAAGAAAGGTAAGAGTTGTAAAGCCTGCTATAAACTGTACATTTTTTTTTTTTTTAAATCTCGATTTGATTTAAAAGATATTAACAAGGCAGTTTACAGTCTTTCATGCCAGACTGTACAATAAATTGTAGCCAAGACATCTAGACATTTCCATCACACTGGATGAGAAGCACTGTGACAAAAAAAAAACAAACAAAAAAAAACACACAAGTGCAAATGGGAAGATTGTGCAATCTATATTATGATATTTCTCTATATCCATTAACTTTATTCAAGCACCTTAAAGACAAATGTATTATTTAAAAATTCACAGTACACAATCTTCCAGCCTAAGGTAAAATCACTATGTGCAATAACAACCATTTGGGACAAATATGATGTAATTTCTTGCATACATATGTGTGTGTGGAGCTCTATGAACAGCCATAGAAAACTTTGTGTGCAAAATTAATCAACCCTATTTATTCTTTAGTGCACATGAGCAGTAAGAGCTGTCACACTGTAGAAGTGTGACCTAATTTCTTTGACGCTACCAGCAATTTATCGGAGGCTAAAATTCACCACAAAAAAAAACAATAATTTTGCTCTACGACAATAGAAATCATTTACGACCCCAAATATTTGTCTCAGATGGCAAACTGTGACCAAAATCATACAGTGTGGTAAAGATAGTTTAAAATAGTAAAATTCTGATAAGTAAACTTCTTTTTTTCGAAAGCTAACACTAGGTAAACATAATGCTAATTAATTAGCTTCCATTAAAATTATCAAAACTATGCTAATTTATTAGTTGTATAATTTTTTTGGAAAGTTAAATGTAAATATTATTCAGGTAAGAATAAAAAAACACATTTGTGCTGTATTGCACACATTCTAAATTATGTTGAATACAGAGAAATCTTGGCTTGCTTAAGTCAGTAATACAGCATTTTAGTGTGTGTGTGTTTAGTTTCTTATGTCTGTGTTCAAGACTGATACTGGAATCTTCCTTAACCAAGCAGTGCTTCACAATCCCTCTTAGCACTTTATCAACCCACAGCTTTGTGCAGAGTGGAGACCGTGCCGAGTTCAAGACCTCATGAAGACTGTGAGTGGGCTGAAGAAGTGGAGTGTGTGTGAGTTTATTGAGGAGCTTTGCCATATCGATCACCCGCCCAAGTCCCTCTGAAGAACATGCCAACTGGGTGTTGAGAAATGCAATTTAAGATTAGACCAAATATATCATCCAAAGACG